TCATTTTGGAGAAACTTTAATATCGGAAAGAACTCCATTATAAACATGAGAGAATTAATTCAGACACATCAAAGTCCTATAACCAATCCAGGGTGAAGTTGGAAACTGAACCAATCGCAAAATTGTATCAGAAGGCTCTTTCTTTAAATACTTTCACCTGAAAGGAGGGGGGCATAACACAGCTTTCCCTTTCTCACCACACATTCACGCACACATAGTTTATGGTGGAGTCTCAAGTTGGTTCACCAGTTCACTAGTGCGAACTTAAGGAGAGTCCTCAACCTCTTTGACTCTCAGATTTTCATCTTTGTGGGGGAGATGTTAAAAGACATAACTGCCTCATTGGGTTGTTGTGAGAGACAAAAAAAGAGAAAATAAATACCAATCCAATCTAGGACATATAGAGCATGTAATAAATGTAGCGTGTGTTACATTTGTATGCAATAGATTTGAACTTTGATTGATAAACTCATACCAAAGCTGCATCTTGTTAACATCAAAAACAATGTGATAGTCTGATAGGCTGAGATAATGCTCCCCAAACAACTTTACTGAGTTTTTTTGTTTGTTTTTGTTCCTTTGTTTGCTAGTCTATTGAGTTTGTGACCTCAACATACAGTTTATTGTAAGGTAATGGAAGAAGGGAAGAAAATGGGGATCTCTCATTTCAAAGTCTTGTGCAAACTTAACATTTTTGCTTTATATATATTCTATTTATATTTATTAATATTTATAAATAATCTATTACATATTTGTAAATATTCTATTATAATTATGAGTGTATATAAGGGGGGACCCCAAAATCAGGATTTATTTATAAAAAATGTTTATCCTTACATATTTAAACTTTAGTCACCTTCAAAGTACTCTCTGTTTGATGCAATAAAACAGTTTTGAACTCATCAGTTTTGATGCCTGTTAGTGTTTCTGCCATTTTTTGTTTCACCTCTTCCACATCAGCCAAATTTACCCCTTTGAGAACTTTTTTCATCCAGGCAAACAAACAAAAAAGTTACTCAGGGAGAGAGGGTGGGGCAAGAGGCTCATGGATTTTTGGTGTTCAGCAGTTTTGGTGTGGGCAGGTGTGCTCATAAGTCACCCATCACAAAATGAACAAACACTTTGAAAAAACATCTCCCCCCCCAAAATTAGCTGAAGTTGAATGCAGCCTCTCACAATAGTGCTATATATTTATCAAAAGGTCTACTGGTGATAAGCAAATACAACTTGCTTCTTAAAGCCTTCCCTTAAATTATTTGTTTTTCTTTAAGATTTGTTTGTATTTCTTTTACATTATTTATGAGACTCTGTCTTATAACATGGATAGCTGAGTCTTTCTTCTCTGAGAAAGAAATAGAGATTTTGTTCATATTAATAACTGTAGTGCTCAGAAGGTAATAGAAATTATGAAATTATAAAATATGGGAAATATTAGACAGTATACTTCAACCTTTAATAACTCAATAGATAGTTGAGATTGGTGTCTATGTAGAGAAAACATTTTTTATGAAATATGCATCCTCCATAATTATAAAGTATCCATTAGGAGAAACCCCTAAGTTTGTGTGTGTGTGTGTGTGTGTGTATATAAATATTACTTATCATTGGGTCCTCTATATCCTGCACCCTTCCCACCTGCAAAACAAAACAAAAAATTTAGGTAACTTTCTTTGTTTTCTACCAGAAAGCCTGCATGTATAACTCTGACTAAAGAGCAACCAAGTACCTAGGATTTGCACGTACTTCAAGATTAGTAACACTTGCCTCCCTCCCAGTACAGAACAGACCCCGTGGAAACCAGGTTACTTACAGTCAAGTTTGGAGAGCCTCAAGGGAAGGACAATTTCTTTTAAATTTTTTCTTCCTGGGAAAGTACAGAAAAGTCTGATTCAACAACTTGCTATGAGTTAAAGGCTTATCACATCACTGATGAAAATATTTCTAATCCCAATCCTTACAGAACAAAATACTGAAAGGGAAGTATTTATTAAACACTCCTTATTCATGGAGCAAGTCCCTTTCATACACTTGATCTGAATTAATTCTCTCAGTAGCCCTGGGAAGCAAGAATCATTCTTACCACACAAATAAGAAAATAGATCTTAGAGAGTTTACTAAGTTCTTACCACTAGTACTTGCCAGAATCAGGACTAAAGTCTACATCTGTCTAAATTTAAAACCCATTTTACTCCTATATTACCCAACTTTACATGTGTTTGGGAGGGTAAAATTTCAGAGTATACATGTGGAAATTTTTTAGTAGTACTAAAAATTGGGAAATGCAAAATTAGAAAATAACAGTACATTAGTAATAAGAATACCACCCTTCTAGGCAATAAAAGCCCTGTTTTAGACATTGGTGAAGAACTACAGAAATAAAATAGAGAAAGAGAAGAATATGTGTCCCTTTTATGGAATTGAGGGGTGGAGGTTAAGTATAATGTCCCTTTCATGGGATTGAAGGGTGGAGATTAAGTATAATATGCAAGTTGAAAAAAAACTTGCACTGTTCCAGAAGCCAGGAAAAGTGAATATGCTTACGTGAACTATGTATACATTTAGATTAAGTTAAACAAACTAAATAGTGTTCAGTCTCATGATATTTTGTCAAGAATGCTTCAGTTCATCTACTTCATGATGGATGTAATGAAACTCAAAAATAGTTATATATGTATACACACACACATATATATGAATGTATATATATATGTATGTGTATGTATATATATATATTTTTTTTTCAAGGACGTACAAAAGATGTGTCTCCTGAGTGCTTCTATAATTCCAAATACATATCTATAATTGCAATCACCACCTTTTTATAATAATCGCTTCCTCTGAATATATCTCACCCTTCAAACATGAGCAACTTGAGGCTTTGAACTGAGTCTTACTTAAATGTGTATATTTATTGCATACCCAGTGCCTGATACATAGTTACAATCATGCTGTTTAATACTTGTGCACTATGTGATATTCCTGATTCAGTGGTTCTCCGCTAAGCTAAAATGCATTGCCATCAATTTTGTTATTAATATTAGTTAAGGTAATAATTTTTAATGATATGTTTTTTAAATGGGATAGATGTAAGACTATCTCTATAATTTTCTTCTCATTGACTTGTTTTTTAATATGCTTTGAATAGCTGCAAAGGCACTAAGAATTGGGAATATGCCTAGGTACAAAGACTTCTAATGACCAGATGCTCTCTTCAGTGCCATTTTCCTTTTATAAACTGAGATTTTTAGATTTGAATGGGCAAAACTTTGTTCTGTGCAGTACAGAAATCCTTAGTGTTTTTGGTACTGTACAATCTTGTGCCTAAGATGAGATAACCCTGAGAATTTTCTTACTCTGTGAATTCTAAGAAGCCTCTGGTGCCATTAATAGTTAACAGTAACAAGTTAGCTTTCTATTTATGAAAGCAAAATATTTAGTGGAAAGCTGTTAGGTACTTAATATAGTCCTAAATGCTAAGGAGAATTTAAGTGAAGATGCATACAATTCACATCTTTCCCTCAAATTGCACAATCTAGTGAAGAAAAGAGATATGAAAGCAATTCAATACAATATTTTGAAATTAAAGAAATGCCACATATAATTGTGAAATAATGTCCTATGCAAGTTCTGAGAAAGAAACTTATTTTACCAAGAAATAAAAAGGAAGCTCCCAAAAAGGCAGATTTGACTGAGGCTTTAGAATAGTCATAAAAGATCCGTAGATAAAAATGGGTAAGAAACTAGCATGAGTAAGAAACAGAG